GGATAAAGTTCCTGTAGTGCACGTGAAAAATGTGTTGGGAAAGACAGTTTGGGATGTTCCTGCATCAGGCAAAGGCAAGCCCATCTGCAGGATTGCTTTTGCTCAGGGACCAGGGTATACTTGGTGGGTGATGAGAAAGGATGGGAAAGTCTGGTGTGTACCCCAAGGGGATTTGATTTTGGGTGAAAATAGTCAGTAAATTAAATTGTATGATGTTAATAGCTATATACTGTATCAATGGTATGACCATAAGAATCACCCAAAACTAATGAAGGATGGACTTTGAAACTGAGCTAAGTGCCACGATGATGGAACTAGAACTGACTTCAACTGGTACCCAGGAACTTCATTGAAAACATCTTTGACGTTGAGACTGCAAGCCTGGACCATACCAGATACACCGGCTGTGAAAACTCCGGATGCAGCGTGCAACAATTCAGCACCATGCACCACTGCCTCTGCCCTGAGAGACTGTGATGACAGATGGAACCCAAAGCCATGGACTAAATGAATTCGACGGACACTTTAGAGCGATGGCCCATAGAGTAAGGGAATGATATCTGTGAAATAATATGGGCATGATGTAGATGGTATAGAATAAGGGGTGGATAAACACACACACACCCCACCCCCCAAAAAAAAAAAAATAGTTTCAGTAGTTTGTAAATTGAACTAGGTTTCATGTGGGTGTTTTTTTCCTGGATGTGCATACGTGTGTCTCAAAGCTGGTCCGATCTCTGGTGTGAATCTTATCCTGGCTGGTATGAGTCTTATTCCTTTATGTCTCTTCTTGACAAAGATTTTTGCAATGCAGTTATGCAGGGGGTTTTTTTTGAAACTTCTACCCTTTTTGCAGAGGTTGAATGTAGCAAGCTGGTCCAATCTCTGGTGTGAATCTTATCCTGGCTGGTATAAGACTTATTCCTTTATGTCTCTTCTTGACAAAGATTTTTGCAATGCAGTTATGCAGGGGGTTTTTTTTTGAAACTTCTACCCTTTTTGCAGAGGTTGAATGTAGCGAGCTGGTCCAATATATATTAGTTGGGGGAAGACAGACACATGCACAGAGAAGTATATCTTAAGACTTTTTTCATGAGGAAACTAGATGGATAATGAGTTTTAAGTTATGCCTGGAAACTCTGCTTTTAGAGGAGGTATCATGGAGCAGCAACAGTCATTCCTGGTTAAAATTATAACAGGAATAAATGACAAACTTTGTTCTTTTATCAAATTGTGTGGGCTTGTACGCAATGAACTCCTGGACCCAGCTCAAATAGTGCTGTCCAAATTGGGTAGAAAATAAATATAAACCATGTCTGAATGATTTCCAAAGATTAGTGCTGTTTTCCAGAAGTGATACTGTATTGCAGTTTGTTGTATTCTTCTCTGAGGTTGTCAGAATTCTTTTTCAGGCTGCTATCTACTATTTAGATGTTCTAGTCCATAGATGCAAAATCTTCTTCTGGTGGCTGACTTCAACGTAATGACAGTGATTGTGACTGGTCCAGTTGATAGTGACATTTTTTTAATGTGTGTTCACTTAATCTCAAAGTGTGGACACAAGACACTGATTCTCAGGTCTAAGTTTTAGAGAAACTACCAGATAAGAGTATTTAATTCTGAGCAAGAAGTATTCAGGTGTGGTAAAAGATCATTCACTGAACTATGTTTCCTTTTTTTAAGGAGTTTTGTGCGTTGTCAGAACACCACGGTTAAGAGTTGAATTCCTACAGCATGCAGCAGCAGCCAAAGTGGTGATAAGAACCCTTTCGTTTACGTGCTCTTTCTGATCTGATGAGATTGCAAGTAGAATATAATTTACAACAAGATGGAATTATCAGGCTTTTTATATTCTTTATATCTATCTTCTATGGCAAGGAAATCATAATCCCATTGCAGTGACAGATAGATTAACATGTTCTGGAAATGTGTCTCATAATATATTTTCCTGGAGGATTCAGCAATATAATTATCTTGGAAGTGAGAGAAAATTGGTTTCTGTATGGATGTTTCGTCACAGAAAAAACAGCAACAGCTGTTGGTTATACTACATAGTCCTCTAAGAATAAGTAGTGGATATCTTAATGGCTTTACAGTTCTTAGATATTTTTTCTATTTTTTTTCCTGGTTCTCTCTCTCCTTGGCAAAGGCAGGATGGGAAAATATTCTGCCTGTGCAATGTACATGGAGTAAAAATAACTCAGGAGGAGGAAATGTTAGCCAGTCCCAGCTGGAGCACGATGGAAGTTACCTGAACAGTCTAGACTTCCTGATTGAAACTAGAGATTCTCTGGTGGTTTTTCAGCAAACCTATAAGCTGAACTGGTTCTGAGTGTGATTTGGCAACCAATACACGTAACGTAGATGGGAGCATGCTAGGAAAGACCAAGACCACAGCTCTTGGCAGCAGCAAAGAATTACATTTGTTTAAGTGCAAGTGTGAAACCGCACTCCAGCTTATCTTATTAACACCATTAGTCTGAAACCCAAGGTAGGCATGTTGCTCTTTGAACCCTTAGCCATGGTTAACCTATCGCTACAGTTTGAAAGTAGTTATTTTACTTTAGCAAAACTTTGATATATGAATTCAAGCAAAGGCCAACTGTTGTACTTTTAGTTTCTCAGACAAGATAGCAGTAGCTTACTCCCTCAGGGCCCAGAACAGAAAAGTAGCTTAACTTCCCTTTTACTCCAGTCAGAGTATCACTAAGCTCTTAATTTTCAATAACAATTCTGTTCCTCTAGGATAGGAAATTAAAATAATGTAGTTACTACCTCTTACAAGTATGAGTACTTTTTCTTACCCTACAAGATCTGAGCTGCTGCCAGCAACTGAATGTGGTTCTGTGACTGAGATAAAATGACCTTGGTAGGATATTTTCAATTTCTGTGGCCTACAGTTTGAAAATTTTACTTCAGCCTTCTGAATGAAAGTTAATGACTGATAAAGACATACTTGGGATGGTGCAACTTACTGGTTACCTGGATTAAATGATACTGTTTGTTTTGTTTCAAAACTGTTGCTGGTTTTTAGTGTGCAGGAAGGAAGTTAGTGTAATAAATAGGTCTTTTCACTGGCTTAATTTTAATAAGTCTAGGGGAAAATAAAATTTACGGTACTTATCGCTAGGTAGCGAGATACTATTGTTTAAAAATAAAAATCCATTTTTTTCACAACAGCTTGATTGTTGAGATAAATTTGAATGTTGTTCTTTGGGCCACGACCTTTTGCAAAGATATGACTGGATCTGTATTACTTGATCTTAAAGTTAGCATATAGAATAGTCCTTACAAGCTTGAGTATCTGTAGGACTGAGCCACAAGCATGATACAAAGTCTGAAAGTTCTGTACTTCTAAAGTATTTTGTTTGTATCATTTTTGTTTGCAGTATTTGGAGGGAGAAAGTGTCATTCACTGCAGTCGTCTTACGCTTGCTGCTTTAAAACCTAATATATTGCAGAGATTACCATTTAGTATGGAAGTTAGAGGACTTTACGTGGGCTTAAATTGATTTCTTTTGAAGACAATGGCTGTAACTAACAACATTTGTTTATGGATGGGTTGCAAAATAACACTAATAAAGTATCATGTAACTTTCAGGCCATAAAACAAACAAACTCCCCTATGTTCAAAGCTAGGAGGTAAGAATCAGTTTATCTGTAGATTTCTTTAAAAGGTGTTGGTCATCAAATAAAATTGGTTGCTTTTTTGATAGAGGTGATTGATAGCAATGCAGCGCAGAAGATTGGACAAAATGTTTTAATGGCAGCAACAATAAAGAACACTTCCTTTCTGAAGTGATGAAACAACTTTTTTCTCTTGTGTGATTCCTTATGGTACTAACAAATTCCTGAGAAGTCCTAATAAATTTGAGTTAACTTTTTAAAAAGTGATGGTAGGTGTGTGTTATATATTGTGTGTCTCTATTACCACTTAGAGTATTATAAGACAAATACTTATTCCTTTCAGTAAGGGCTTTTTTCTTTGTCTTTCAAGACTGCTGAAACCACTCAAAGCGATACGAGTGTCTCGTCAGGGGAAACAAGCAAAAGAAGCATTCATTTTCTGCCTAATGAAATAAAACTAGATCCTCAACTAGAAAACAAAGACTTAAATACCAAAGAAAAAAGTGATCCAGGTGTGGATGAAGATGATGTAGAGGGAGATTCTTTTTTTGATGATCCTATACCCAAGCCAGAAAGAACTTATGGTTGGTAAGTAACATGGATGTTCTACTTCATACAGGTTTCATTCGTCCTCGGTATGCTTGCAGACCTTCGAGAGTTAGCTGATGTTTGATTATTCACACTTTTGGGAGTGTTTAGATCTGTTCTAGAACGTTTTGTTTCTGAAATGTGCGTTTCTATGATTGTATGATTCTATTCTTTGCACAGTGACATCTAGGATCTCTTGGATTCATCATGAGTGGAAAAACCTATTTTATATCACTTTAAGATGCATCAGTTACACTATATAACATCCCCAGCCTATTTCTTTGGGGGAATGAGCACATACGAGACACAGACATCAGTATTTCTTCTTGCAGCAGAGCTGCAGTGGTCATCAGCACTAAAGGAAGTGGACAATGACAGGGGTAGTGCTTTAGATATCTGTATGGCTTTGTAAGGAGTATGAAAAATCCAGTGAGTGTGTATCTGGTTAATGTGTAAACTGGCTTCATAAACTGTGAGAATGAGGAAAGTTTTCTCACAGCAGACGGTTTCCTCTTCATATTGCAGCACCTTTTGTGTGCAGTTCTGTGTTTTCAGTGAAGTATTGTTACTTCTGCATATGTCAGTTTTGCAGATGCTTCCGAAGGGCATTTTGTATTGTTCATCAATGGAGTCTGACTGAAAAGTACCATTTGAAACAAGAACTAGTGACTGAACTATACAACAGCTTTGCTACAGAGATAGTTTTTTTCAGTTTTATATTACCATGTCACGTTACCTTGAAGCTTAGTTTAGATATCTCTATTGAGAAATGTTGCAAGATTGTTTCATGGTGTTCTTTTGCTGTGCTCGAGTAATCAGAGAATTGTTCTAGCTTAGTTAAGGGTACCAGAAGAGGTTGCAAAAGCATTTCCAAGTTGGTTTGACAGTAGCTGCCCTCATGTTGGCTTTTTCCCCCAACTATGTCAGTAGTGGGCAGAGCAGTATAAACTTTTTTGTATTATCACTAGAGTAGATGCTTACTCTTGGAATGGGATCATTCTGGTACAGCACAAAGCAGTCATGCCAGGTAAACTAGATCTCTTTCTAGTAAATTAATGGACTCTTTGAGAAAGATTATTTATAATACAGCTTTAGTTGGATGTATATAAAGAGCAGAATTTTTTTTTTTCCTCAGAGCAATGATTTTTCCCTGGAAAATATTGATACAAATAATCCTACTATGGTATTTCTTTTATCTTTTTCTTATTTGAAATATCAAGGTTAAAACTGTGTCTGAGCACACTTACTCCTCCTTAATCAAGAACTCATTTTAGCATTTAACCAAAATCTAACCATCATAGCAGGTAGTTGTGTTGCCATAAAATAGGTTTAAATGATGTTGGGAAAAGTAGAAAAGGCTGAAAAACTTCTGGAAAATAATAACACTTACTAATTTCTTATTGTTCAAGCATTTTCATATGACAAGAAAGGAAATTAATTTTGAAATTGGATAAACATAAGAAGGATGTGGAGCTGTTGGAGCGAGTCCAGAGGAGGGCCACGAAGCTGATCAGAGGGCTGGAGCACCTCTCCTATGAAGACAGGCTGAGAGAGTTGGGGTTGTTCAGCCTGGAGAAGAGAAGGCTCCAGGGAGACCTTAGATCAGCCTTCCAGTACCTGAAGGGGCCTACAGGAAAGCTGGAGAGGGACTGTTTACAAGGGCATGTAGTGACAGGACAAGGGGTAATGGATTTAAGCTGAAAGAGGGTAGGTTTAGATTAGATGTTAGGAAGAAATTCTTCCCTGTGAGGGTGGTGAGGCACTGGAACAGGTTGCCCAGAGAGGTGGTGGAGGCCCCATCCCTGGCAGTGTTCAAGGCCAGGTTGGATAAGGCTTCGGGCAACGTGGGCTAGTGGAGGGG